ATGCTCTAATAAATTTGTTAGTCTCTAAGGTGCCACAAGTACTCCTGTTCTTCTTTTTGCGGATACAGACTAACACGGCTGCTACTCTGAAACCTGTCAAAAATTAGAGACAGGGCTCAGCTGAAAACTGGGGAAAGATTTCAAACACTTCAGAGTCTGGGGTGTTTGGACCTAAGGTTATAGTTTGACCCATGCCAGAGATAAGGAAGAGACAGGGTTCAGTTATAATGAATAAAAAGTGGATTTTCTAGCAAGGCCTCTGGGCAAAGCCAGATCCTGTAGATCTCAGGCAGAGAAGCACAGCCTGTTGTCTTGCGTCACCACACAGTCTCCTCTAAATTCCGTCCTGGAAAACAGAATCATGGAAGGGACTTCTGACTAGTTTATGGGGATCATCTACAAAATTTGGATTTAGATTCAGGTACAGATTCTAAATCACCACTTCTCCCACTAAAGCTCAGCAGGGGGTTACGTCTGGAGTTTGAGCCTGGCCCCCATCACTAAAACAAAAGTTTTGTGAGGCACAGTCTGGTTTTCATTCCAAATTTGTTCAATTTTTTTAAAAACTAGTTTAAGGGCTTTTTTAATACTTAGACATTTTCTGCACTTGTACCCAATTTAAAAAAAATACAGGAAGGAAATAGAGTATTGAGAGATGATCTCCTGCAATTCCATACAAAACACTGCAGGACCATGAAGAGCAGAATAGATAATTAGACAGGGAAGGGGGAGAACAAAAAACAACATACCTTTGATGATATGTTTCTGAAGTTTATGGCAAAACCTGCTCCTTGAGGTTTATTAGACTCTAATCATTTTTCTTGAAAGATTAGTAGCAATTATCATTATGGTTCAAGCATTTAACTATGACTGCCGCAATAAATCTTATTAAAATAACTGAAACATACTTTTTTTGCATGTGGCAACCTGTCTCTGAATCACAACCATCTGTACATAGTTATTGCCTGGTGCACACAGATGGCAGTAAAACAACTATAAAGCTATACCATTCTTTAATCATAAGTTCTAACAGTACTAAACAAAGTGAAATTTGAGTCAGACCATTAACATTTGAAAGACTATATGATCACTATAATTAAATACACTTCAGTATCCTGTTATAAAATGTTTTATTGGTTTCTGACTGAAAAAAACAACACTTTCACTGGGCAACCCCCTGTTTTGATCTTTGACAGCTCAATTAAAAAAAATCATATGTTAACAATGGAATAGCAGTCTTCACATTTTTATACTGCAAAATTCCTTTATGGATTTAAAATGACAGTGGAAGGTAGCAGAATAATTTATTCCTTCTTGCTCAAGGCACAGAATCATGAATGCTCCAGGTCAGTAACTGCAGGGCTACACTAAACCCCTGTCACTCCAAATCAGTTACAAAGTGAGCATCTGTACTCTGCTTAGCCTTCAAGGGGGGGAAAAATGTCCACATTACTTACAAATGCTGGGCCTCTTAATGTGAGGAGTTCTAAATGAAGCCCACATGCAGGTCACTTAATGTCTTTCTTCCATGTGATACTAGATATTGATCTAGTAGATCCAGTACAGTCCTATTGGATAGAAAGCGACAATGGGTTTCTATCTAAGTCTGCTTTTATTTTATTGTATTTTGGGGTTGGAAGAAAAACAAGAGTTTATGCCCATTACTGTCAACTTATTCAGCTTCTAAATTTCATATTCACTTGATAAAGGTTTTGAAAGCTCTAAATAAATAACCACCACCCAGGTCTAACTCTCACAGATAGAGGAGGTGGAAGTCATCCAAAGCACAAGAACTACAGTTAATACAGTACTTATTTTCATACCAAATTAGTCAGGACTTTTTTCCTCTGGTAGTGCATTTATCAGCAGCTACTTTAAGGCATAGTCTTGTAAAGTGGTGGGCTCCCTCAGCTCCCACTGACTCTAATGGTAATTGAGGACACACAGTTTCTCTTATGACCAAGACCTTAGTTTATTCCTGAACAAAGACGGAAGCTTAAAGTAGTTCCATGGTCCACATTCATTTACATTTTTAACTATTCCAAACACTAATATCCTGAATTTCCAACTATTTTAGGCCCAATCCAGCTATGCCAACTCCCACTGATGTCAATGAGGACCGTGGGTGCTCCGTACCTCACAAGATCAAGCCCATTTGCCATATGGCATCTGACCGTCACTGCAGCATATGAATAATAAACCAAATATGAGTTTAGAGTAAAATAGGCTGCCTTGACATTTAAATAGATAATTTTGTCTTAAAAAAAAAAAAGAGAGAGAGATTAGGTTCAGAAACATTTCACACGGCACACAAAGTCTTTGTTCACCAAGATGTTTATATTAGCTGTGTTAGCAAGAGCAAGTTGCTCTTGCTTTATATTAAAAGCCGCATCTCACCCCTTCCTCAGTTCTGAATACCAAAAATATGAGACAGATGTTGTTAATGTAATGTATCTTGCAAAGCACAACAGTGCTTCTTTGATGGGCTTAGGGTAAGCAGTTGCCCTCCCTGGGGCACATTTGAACTGTTTGAGATTTTTCACTGCCAACTACACAGCTTGCTACCTGTCAGGAACTGGAATTGGCAGAGAACAGCTGGTAGAAGTCAATGGATGTGCCAGTTCTGGTTCATCCAGCAGAGGTACTGTGGAACAGTGCAACAACACAGATAAGAGTTAGGCAATATAGATACACGCTGTACTGGCACATAAGGGCACTGACTTCTAAGGTAGGGAATGTTAAAGGTCCAAATTAGGCCAAGTGATTACTACATCTTTAAAAAATTGACATGCCTACAACAAATAAGTGAAAACTGCCATAACTGAAAAAAAAATGGTTTAACTCTTTGTTTCCACTGACAATACTGTTGAGTGGCTGCAGACAGGTTACTATTACTACTGGTTGTGGGAGTTGCAGAAATAAATACAAAATCCCTTACTTGTTAAATCACTTAACATAAAATAGCTAATGTTAAAGTTGATGCAGGGGAGGGTAACTATGGGTGTAGAGTGGAAATCACCTTTACAAATTTCCAGTTACAAGTAATTCTCTTTCCTCTCAAAAATATAAATATCCTGCATGAGCCCCACACATGTGGACTGAAGAGCTGAGAAAATGTCACTATAGCACAAGATACAAAATGAGATAGAACATCTGCACATGAAAGGAAAAGCTTTTTTAAAACAAAAAAACAAAAAAAGAGGATGTTGGAGCAAGCATTTTTTTTATGGCAAACAGAACCATATAAAAAGTTTGAAAGCTAAATGTTATATTACATTTA